TCAACAAAGCTAGACATTTGAGAAAATTATTTGGCGGCGGGTTGGTGATTCCATTTCATTTCATTTTATTTTTTTTTTAAAGCGATTAATCAAACATATATGTCGGAGTTCAACGACACGACGCCCACCAATCGATAAGCATTGTTTACTTTCTCTAGAATGGACATACCCCGAAAACATCGTCACCCCTAGTGGCCTTAATCATGGCTTCAAACATTTGTTCGGTCGGAGTTGTGACTAACATTTAATTGCACAAAATGATTTCTTTTAATATTTTAGCTTAATACAGTAATTTTCAGGCTTTCTTAAAGGTCAAAAGGAATTTCCAAATGGACGCCGGTTATTAGAATAAGCCGAGAAGCGACGGCCCGATGACTAACCCGTATCACTCCTAAAATCAATTATCTCATTGCCATCGGGAACTATGATGGCAGAGCTTGCGGAAGCTCCCGAATAGTGAGAATAATTTCGGAACGATTGCAACGGCTTCCGAAATAATCCAAATGACTTCAATTGCCTGCGAACTGTTGATATATTAAGTGATCCGGAAAAATTGCGATATGATCCCACACTTTCTCGCATCCGTATCATTTTGGGGATTGAACGAGTTTGATCCGGCACCGATGCGTGTAATTCTATTAGAAATACTGTAACTGATTTCCTTATCCGGCTAATCTCACTTGGGGCATCACGAAAATATACAGTCGCTCAATTTTTTACATGTGCACCATTTATATATGAATAGAAATTATAGAAATTGCATTTTTTGAAAGAATCATGTCAATGTTCAAGTTAACTCTCGATAAAATTTACGATCTCTTGGGACACGCCGACAACCCGCACCTTCGACTATCCGCAATCCACATCGCTGGAACTAACGGAAAAGGGTCCACCTCGGCCTACATTGACTTTGTTCTTCAGAAAGCAAACCTCAAGACCGGCCGATTAAACACGCCTCACCTTTGTGAACCTCGCGACTCCATCAGGATAAACGGTGTGCCAATTACTAAGGAGGATTACCAAAAAACCTACGACGCCATTAAGGTCATAAATTCCGAACACAATATTGAAGCCAGTTTGTATGAGCTGCTGGTTGCCACGGCGTATCGGTGGTTCGACGCCCAGAGGGTAGACGTGGCCGTCGTGGAAGTGGGGGTCGGAGGGCGATTGGACGCCACCAATGTCTTTGATTCACCTTTGCTCAGCATAATTACTTCGATTGGGTGGGATCACGAGGACCTCCTGGGAAATAGCATTGAGGCCATCTCAAGGGAGAAGGCTGGAATCATGAAACCGGGCTGCAAAGTGGTCGTCTCTCCGCAAGTGGAAGAAGCCGCGTTGGTCACACTGAAAAACTGCGCCGCTGAGTTCGGTTGTTCACGTTTGATTTGCGTTGCACCTGCAGAGCGGGATTCGCAAAAAGTCGATCGTGCTTCGTTGAAACTCTTGGACGGTACTCCCATCGAGTTTCACGTGCCGCTATTGGGCGATCATCAGCTGAGCAACGCAGCCACCGCTGTTACGGCCATCGATCTATTGAGGAAGACAGAAGCCAGATTTTTCCACATCACCGATGACCACATCAAGGATGGGATGGCGTCGACACGATGGCCAGGAAGATTGCAATACGTCGATGTCTCATCTGTCGTTAACGGTGGTGTGACCGAGAAGAGACTATTGGTGGACGCCGCGCATAATCCTCAAGGTGCGAAATCACTTCGAGATTTTGTCGACAAACTCTTGCAAGATAAGGACGTCCCAAAAGTTCACTGGATTTATGCTGCCACCAAGGGAAAGGATGTGCAGCGATGCCTTGGTTTGTTGCTAAGGGATGGCGATACGATGATCGCCAACACGTTCTCGAAAGTTGAAGATATGTCATGGGTCAATTGCTGTGAAACGAAAGATATCGTTACACGGGTGAATGAATTGAACCGAGAGGTTAACGTCACTGCCGCGGAAAATCTTGTGGATGCATTGAGGCAGGCGTACGATAGGTGCGGGAAAGAAGGTGGAATTGTGGTGCTGTCGGGAAGCATCTATTTTGTTGCAGATCTGTTCAGATTACTTGGGCTGGATGTGTAAGATGAAACGGGGAGGATTCACTTTGTAATAAATTTAATAAATTCCATTGTTCGATTGGTAATTCCTTTACTTTAGTTCGCTGTCAATCCCGGGATCGTGTGAGTTATGTAATTCGGGAAATTGATTACGTATTTGTAAATTGTGTTACACAATCATCTTTTCGCATATTGCGATCGCTTCGCATATTGCGATAGACAGTAAAATAATCATCTTTTCGCATATCGCGATAGATGGTATCACTCAAATGTTGTTCTGTCGTAAAAACTTGTTGTTGAGATCAACGAGAATGAAAATACATTTTAGCAATTTCATCGGCCCACTCGACAATTACCGCTTTGGCGTAACACGGAATCGATTGAATAATCGAAATCCTCAAACAATCATCCGACAAATTGCACAACGCAGGTCCCTTTCGACTAATAACTGTACCGATCAGAGCATCTGTAAAATTTTCGATCATTCGTTCATGCTTTGGAGGTGCAAACTTGCGATTCGAACCCACACCGATCCTTCATTTATCTGGCAATTGATGTTGTACCTAATGAAACGGGACAAATCATTCAAACGTGAGGATCTGTCCTTGAAGGAGATAAGACGGTTAATGGTAACAAACTCTACCGGAGAATTCACTCGTCTGAGTAAGAATCACATATATGCTTGCATCTTACTGCTGCAATCACTATATCGTCGCGGTCAGGAGTTTGACAAATTGGCTTTTAGGAGGGTGGAGAAATATCATGGAATCTCGTCTTCCTCCCTGAAAAAGATCAGAGAGAGCATGCAAGTCCGAGGTGCCAATCTGGCATTCATAACACTGCAATACTTGATCAGAATACAATGCGAATGGAGGTCCGGAACCCTACGGGAGGCCATATTTTGGATGGACGTGATGGAGGATCTAGGGTTCTCGCCGACACTCGCGGACTACACCAACATTATCTATAGAGGCATTGAATTAGAAAATTACGACATCGTTCGTAGGTATATAAGGAGACTGGTTGATGCCGGACTGAGCCCAACTCTGAAAAATGTGGGTGCCGTTCTTGGATTCTCTGAGAGCAATTACAGATTCAAATTGGTTGAGTCATCGTTTCAACAATTCTTTCACGAAGGATACTTCGAACCCACGAAAGATAATTATAACTGGTTACTCTTCCGTTACGCAAAACTGGACAGAAGGAATCGAGTGGGGAAATACTTTGAAGAGATGATCAAGGAACGATTGTACCCCGACACCTTAACATTTCAATCCTTGATAGCCGCTGAAATTGGATTCTACGGTGAGCGTAAATCATCTGCCGAAAGATTAGCGACGTCAATTGGCCACTATAAAGAGATGCAAAGCAAATATGTGCTGAAGCCGAATTCTTTTATTTATTTTTCCTTGTTAAACAGAATCATCAACCCGCCGTCGGACGTTAGACACGCCAATCGAACGATCGAGGATTACGATGTGATTCGTGAGCTGACCGTAGGATTGTTATCCTGCTTAACTCCGGACTGTCAGATCCTCAACAAGGTGTCCAATAACTTTTTGAAAAAACTTTTCTCCCTACTCTTACTTCGCAATTATCTACGCGAGGCACAACTGGTATATCAAGAGCTACGGGATCGAAACCCAAAAAATATAAACAAAAAAGGTGCCAGAGAGTTAATAGAAGCATTCACGAAATCAAGTAATCCGAGTTTGGCGAGAAACCTTTTTCACGAGATGATATCCTCTGGAGTTCAGCCAGTGTCAAAGTATTATGGAATAATACTCGAGGCATACCTCAATGATAACGACCTAATATCATCCTTAAAATTCTATGAAATCATCAGGGAACACGAAATCGTCCCGAGTGAAATAAATTACTTGCATCTCATAAGGGCGTTGATCTACCATCAGGAGATCGAGAAAGCGAACGAGGTTTTCGAGGATGCCGTGCGGCATTACGGAAGACCGTGTCTGCCAATTTTTAACACTTTACTCCACGGATATTTCATGGCGGCGGATGATGAGTCGGCACAGAAACTGTTGAACGACATGGAAGCTAAATATGGCGTAGAGCCTAACGTGATTACCTATAATATACTCATCCAAGGATACGCCAAGATGAAGTGGAGTAACCTTTCCGGGATTCGCAAGATTTACGAAAAGATGAAACGGAACAATGTCAAGCCGGATAGTATCACGTTCAGAAATTTAATGCTGGCGAGCTTAAAGCACGGAGACATAGGGCAGGCAAGAAGGTACTTTGATGAGAATGTGGAGGCGAACGTCGAAGTGAATTTTCGAGGTGGAATCACATTGATGAATTATTTGGTGATTTCCGGTGATGGCAGTGGAGATCATATGAATTTTTGTCTGAGGATATACGAAGAGTTAAAAAAAAATGATAAGGTGAATAAACAGGTTTTCGAAACTTTATTGTATGGATCCCAGAAATTTGGAGATTTGAGGATGAAGGAGGGAATAGAAAAGGAGATTAAGGAAGCAGGTTTTGATGAAAGCGAAGAGTTCGCATTCATAGAACAGCAGGGGGCTACGGATTTGACAAATCTGGAATGAACAAATCTTAAATCCTTTGGAATAACATTTAAACGCGAAAAATTCGCGTAAAATAAAAACTTGACATTAAGACAAAGATGCTTTCTTGCCTATTCACAATAATCGTAGTAATACTATTATTATTTACTGATGTAGATGTAGTATGTTTCATTAAAATATCGTCGTAATAATAAATACATAAAATTCTCAATGATTTAAATAGTAATACTATGTTAAAAATTTTTCTTTTAAAAATTACGTAATAAAATTAGCCGACGCGAGTGAGCATCGCGTATTATCAGAGTGAAGGGAGGGGTTGCAATGAAATTTTTTATTAGGATGTTACTTAATAATAATAATAATGATGATGATGATAATAATAATAATAATCTATACTGTATATTGCGTGAAAATTAAAATGTTACCATATTTTTCATATCGATTTAAAAATTGACGTATGCTGATTAGCATCATACCCAAAAACGGCCTTTCTTGGTTTCCTCTATCGGCTCGTTCATTGACAAAAAATCGTGAGATTATCCCCCAATTTTTCATCGGAACGTTTTCACATCGAACAATATGTAATTCGGTCATGCCATTTTTTCTCGTGAATAAAGAAAACGAACTTAATCCTTATGTAGCGGTCATGTTTCGGTTTTTACTTGTAATTCCGTCGACTTGAATTACATATGCTATCGAACTGTAATGCTGGTCCAAGATAAGAGTTTCCCATTTTTTGCAAAAAAAAAAACAAAAAAACAAAAACAAAGGAGAATTGCATATATCGCATATATGAAATTTTGAATCGTCACGTCAACCGTAGTATTTTTGGAATGAGGATTGATTGATCTGATTCGTTTGATCGCCGTAGTTAAGCCACGCCAGTATTCATCTTTTGCGCCCAAAGCCTATAAAAATTTATCTCCACTTTATTCTTCTCTATCTCATCCAACGCAATTGTCCATTTCTCCTTATACTCTTCCCGCGAAATGCCCATATAATTAGATAGATTTTCGCATGTAAATTCCAGAAACCAGCATGATAAAACCTTCAATAGAGTAGCGCCGTTTTCCCCACCCTTTTGACCAACGGTCAGGGATTTCACAGAGCATTGGATGTTATCTAATTTCTTGGTATTGTATAGAAAGTATTCTAGTTTTGCGGGGGACACCCTGTTTATACCATTCAAAGCTAGGTATTCATCAACTGCCAAGAAAGAGATGGTGATTAAAGAGATTTCCTTAATATTTGGATGCAAGAAAAATTAACCAAAAAGCAAATGCGATCTCTGATAATCATATCAATGCTTACGACTTTCGACAAATTTCAAATAAGTGGGAGTATTTTTCGGCAGTAGTATTTTGGGCTCCCAGAGCTCTATCCAACCTCCACATTTGGTCACCCTAAGGGATTACATGCACGATTGATTAGGGGCAAAACGAAAATGAAATTTTTTATTTTACTGGGCGCCTACGTGACGGTTATATCGGTTGGATTACCTTATCATCTCTGAGATCCCTTGTACCCATTCATTGTCGGTGAATTCGGGCGAAAAAGTCGAAATTCTCGTGAAATCAAATTGATTCTCGTCATAAGGCAACGATAATAGATCACCTTTTATCACGTTCACGTTGGGTGGATAATTATTAGGGGCTACGGGGTTTAGGTCTACGCCCGTGTATTCCGGCATAGGGTATACCTGAGACTTTCAGTGGGTAATGGGCAACATGCAAGAAATTAGCACGAAATATGGAAAATAGCATGGTGCGAAAGATGTAGGGCATCTACCATATTAATTAACCATGCGCAGTGACCGCAGCTAAAAATCGAAACATTAATTCTATTAGTTGCACCTTCAAATAAAAAACGCCTACGGTGATTAAGACACAAACCAACCAACCCTGCTTCTAAAACTTTTCCTGTGGTAGTTAGAATGTCGTCCACGGGAGCCGAATATTCCACTCCCCAAAGATTAACAAACAATGCATTATAAATTGCGGACATATGATCTTCGAACGAAGTTTCAATAACATCAGAACTTGTATCCTCGCTAAAGGAAGTTTTGCTGGAGTAACTGCTGTCAAAGCTACTACTGGCGTTGCTCGATGATGGCTTTAGGCGACTTTTTTTTTTTCGAAGTTTTATAATTTTTGACACATTGTTTCCCATTTTTGACGTCTCGGTAATTATTGCGCGCTTAACTTGCTTCGCGTGTCCCTTGGAGGTCAACGATGCACTTTTTTTTTTTGTAAAAGTGGAAGTTGAAAAAAAAAAATGATGATAATAAATAAAAGCCGAAAAAAAAAGTTTGCCAAAATGTGGTCAATGGTGTAGAGGTTTTATATAGAGTGAAACAAATTGACGATAAATATGAAATATAAATATAAATGAAACAACATATGAAGTACCACGTCTTTTATAATATTCATTTCCTTTTGTTTCACAAAGTCTACTTGACATGCACTTACGTGAGCGGTGTTCTTTAATAACAATAGTTAAAAAATTTCGCTCGACATAAATAGATACTGTAAATAAATATATTTTTTGATCGAAATATTATTGATTGTCGCACATGACTAAAAAAATTAACGCTGCAAAATAGTTTATCTTGGTTAAAGTTTGAATAAAGAATGTGACACATTTTCTATAAAGAATCCTTGATAGTAAGTTGATCCGAATCCCGATGCGAGACTTCAGGATTTCCGCCACGGCACTCTACAAAACTTCCGTGTGTGCATATATGCGCTAAAATGCGTTCCTTACTATTAATCTAATTTAGGGCCTCGCTAGTACGCATTCATACGAGAAAACCCGATTCGGTGATTTTAACACGTGCCTGAGGATGTAAAAAAATAGAATTTCCCAGGATCTTGGAACGAAAATTACGTAATTTGCGATATATTTTTGCTGAATTAGCGCAAGCGCTTTTAAAAAAAAATCAAATTGGTAACGGCTAAAGTTTGTTTTACATTCAATGGTAAACACAACTAAAGTTAGCTCGTTACATCTTTTTCAAATGAAGTTCGCTCAACGAAATAACATATCTTCAAACGGTATCTTAAATTCGATGCCTCAATATATTATGTAAAGTACTTTGATAATCACCCTTATTCGTGCGTGATATCAAATTAAACGTATCCCTATGCAAAAGATCTATTCGAAATAATAAATTCTTGAAATGATAAAAAAACCAGCACTGTGAATGGAATGACTAAGATGAAACCATGGAGAGTTAATCATCTGACCGAAGATCCGTTTATACCAGATATTTTAGATGAGATTCATCGCTATAACAAAATGTAAACTAATATTAGATTTGCAATTAGGTCGTTATCGTTTGTATGCACACACGTACATGCGGCGCGGCGGAAGAAATATCCGAACACTTTACGCTTTATGTTGGTGCGTTTTCCGCGGAAAAATATAGAGTGATTGCAATTTTCCATTAATAGATAGGTTACTTATTTTGTGAATGCAGGCATAATTTTTGGATGCATGTAATCATACAAGATCAACACTGTTTTATTGATTTACACAAAATTTACACACATAAAAACTTTAATTACAAATAAAAAGGTTGAACATGAAAAAATTTATTTTACGCGCACTTACCATTTGTACCATTAGAAGAACATTGGTGCATCAAAAAAATTCAAATTCTTAATAAAACAATTAGGTTGCGAGTCGAGTTCATTGATGGCGCCATTTAGAAAACTAAATTTGCACTTATATTGGGTAAAAAATTTTTAATGAATAGCTAGTATAATATGATAGTTTAAAATAGTCTATAAATTATAAAAAAAAATTTTTTTTTTTATTAACGTTGATATCAAAAAATGAATACTATTGAACTATTTAAGTTAATAAAAATTGCTATAAATAATTTTTTGTAATTGACAATTTAAAATTAATGTTTAAAGATTAAACGTTTAGAATTAATTACGATATTGATTTACAAGAAACATTTGATTTCTATTCTCGTTTTCTTTTTTAAAAGTTCATTTTTATTCTAATAGAAAAGAATTTTTTTTTTTTTTTTTGTTTTATCTTTATAAACAAACCCATTCAAAATGTTTAAGATTACCACTGTTAATAAAATAATTCAAACTATTTAATTACAATAGTTAATTAAAAACATTATCAATTAAAATTTTATTATTAAAATAATAAAAATATGTTTAATTAAACTTATTTTAATTAACGAATCAACTTTTATAAATACAATAGTTTATAAAAATTTAATTTTGTTATTATATTTTTATTACAATATTTTTATTATTACAATTTTTAATTTTATTTATCTTAAAATTTATAAATATATATTATATTTAAAAATTACTTAATTCTCTTTCTTTGTCAGATCAATTACATGATTATTATTATATATGTAAAATATTTTGCTAATACTAAATCTTTATTTAACTTATTATTTCTATTTTATATTTTTTTAAGATTTCGAATATAATTTCAAGAGTAATTTATTGCTTTGTTGATAATTTGATAAAAACCTTTCTAATTACTAATATTATTGCTTACAAATTATTATTACAGATTATTATATAATATTTTAATAAGACTTAAAATCAATACTTTAGTTTTATATTTAATATCTTTTGCTAAGATTTTTTTCAAACTTTTATTTTAAAAATTTTTTCTGATAATAACTCTTTTTTTGTTAAAGATATAGATTTTTAGTTTAAGAATTTAAAAAATTTTTTTATTTTATTTTATTTTATATATTTTTTATATATGTTTCTATTTGATTGTTTTTTTATATATTGTATTTTAGATTCTTTTTTTAGCTTAATTATATATATATATATTTTTATATATTTATTATTTATCCTTTTAATTTTTAATTTATTTATTTTTTATAATATTTCAAGTTTACCATTTTCAATATAAGATTATTTCTTATGAGATTTATACAAAAACTTAAAGTATTTTAATTAGTTTTTAAGATCTATTTCACTAGTTTATAAATTTACTTATTAAGTTTCTCTAATTCATCTTTGTTATTTATAATTAATTTAAAGTTTTTCTTATTAACTTTATTTTATTTTATTTTTTTTTTTGTATAAACTCTCTAATATTTTTAAAGATTCTATTTATTTATTTATTTTACATTTTTTATAATTAATCCATATAGACTAAATATTTTAATAAATATTTAATTATTTTAATTTATTGTCTATATATAATATATTTTACTTACTTATATAAATTAAATTTTCTTATAATTAATTTACTTAAAGCTTTTAACTTATTATTAATCAATTTGATAAAAAAGTTTTTACTAAAACTTTTTAAAAAATATATTTTATATGTATTTATTTTTTATTCTTTCTTATATTAAATTTCATATATAAACTTATTACTCTAAAATTTAATAACTTTATCTTTTTTCTTTGTTTTATTTTGTTATATTCTTTTTTTTTTTTTTTTAACCCACAGTTAGGTCAATATAGTGTGTCTTTATTGTATATATGTTAGGTATTTACAAATTATTGTGACTTTCATATACTGACTCATTTGTTATCAAAAATTTTAATTTATTATATTCATTAATAAAATATTATTTTATTATTTATATTCTTAATAACTATCTTATTGAATTATCTAAAATTATATTTTGTCATCTAATTTTTGTAATAATCTTATATAAAAGAAGATTTTTTTACTCTATTATTGAAAGTTTTTATATTTATTTAACTAGGACATTTATCTTTTTATTATAAAAATTATTAAAATATACCTTAAATTTGATAAGCTTCAAATATATATATATATTTTTTATTGATTAATTATTTATATTTATAATAATCAAAAATTTTTTGACTATTTTTTATATATTCTTTTTAATTTTTTTCCTAATATTTTCTATTTAAAGATGCAAATTTAACTATATATACAGATTTCAATTATACTATTAATAGAAACTACTAAAAATATTATAACAATTATTATTAGTTTAACTTCTGAAAATAAAAATCAATTGTTATCTTTTATTTACAACTTGTTTTTATTATTATTATTATTATTATTATTATTATTTATTTATTTATTTAGATTTATATTATTTTTATTTTTATTTTTTATTTTTATTATTAATAAGTGATTAATTAAAATAGAAAATCGATTTTTTTTAATTCAATTTTTTTTTTTAAATTTTAATAATAAAATGATTTATTTTATTATTTTGAAAAGAAATTTCAAGAAATTTTAATTTTTGTAAATTATTTTTTCAATTATTTTTTTATTATTATCTTAAAATTTAGAAATTTTAGTTTTTTAGCTTTTTAAATAAGCTTTCTTGTATTAAAATATATTACTATATATATATATTTATATATTTTTTATAATATAACTATTATTATTATTATTATTTTTTTTTTTTTAAATATTTTTACAAATTTGTTTTTTAACTATTATTAATACTATAACAACTAAAAATATTATATTTTTACTTTATATTCTATTCTTTTTTTATCTTGGTTTTTCTCAAGTTATTTAATAATCTTTATTTTTTATAACTATTTACAGTTTTATTATTTGTTATAATTAGGATTTATTATAAAATATTTTTATTTTTATTATATCTAATCTTTTTTTTAGGTTTTTATAAACTGGTATAATTGTTTTTTTAAGAGAGTCTTAATTATAATCAAAAATTATTTTAGAATAAAACTTTTATTTATATTCAATATAAGTTATAGTATTTATTAATTTTTGATTTTTTTGATTTTTTAATTAACTAGCTTATTCACATATATTAGTCTATTGTTTTTTTATCAAAATATAATTTTTTTATATTTCTCTAATGTAAAGTGTTCCAAGATTAAACTATTTCTTTTATTTCATTTAAAAATATTTTAATATTTTCAACTTTAAAAAATTATTTTTATATATATTATTAATTTAATTTGGTAATTTATAAGCAAGTAGATTAAGTTATTTTTAGTTTTTAATTTATACTTATTTAAGTTTAATAATTATTATAGTTCCTATTAATTTAGGATTATTTAATTTATTACATATTCTAATATTTAATCTTTTTATTACAATATTCAAATACTCTTCAAATTATAGAATCTTTAAATAATATAATATTATTAGATATAGATTTACAAAAAATACTTTTGATCTTGAAAAGTTTTTTATATACTGTT